TGGTAATCAGTTCGACATGTTGTTTAATTAATAAGGACATTTGTTATTCTATTTATGTGATTATCTAAATATCGTGTATGGGGGAAAGGTGAGCTAAAATGATTTAAAATTTTGCATTCCAAGTAAACTACAATATATGGATATGTGCGTATTTAGTGACAACTGAAGCCAGTTTGGCATATTGCGTGACAAATTACAATTTTGTCGAGATGAGTAATTTATTCTTAAAGGTTTAGTTAACTTACATAACTGTCAGAATACAAGTATGTACAAAAACCATGTAAATGAGTATCTGTTAGTTTGTAATATTTTTGATACTGACTGATGTCAAAATAATCACTTTTATCAAAAGGTGCAATATCGACACTGCCTGTAGTTCAGCGGCTGAAGTGCAATTGTATTTGCTTTCACTAGATATGCTTTCTAATAGAGTTAGCGATATGCTTTTTGTGTTACACATACGATTATTGTCCTCCCGGGCCACATATCCGTTTCAATGTAATAACTGAGCAGTCAAGCGGAAATGTCAATATTTGCGCGGTTATCACGCAAACACAAGCAGATTATTTATCTTATGTGGGTCGCCATAAAGCATTTTAGCTAGAGTTAAAACATTTAAAGTTAAATTTTAAAAAAAGATGTATACTGAAAAACAAACAAAATTTTGATTTATTTTTATAAATTTTTGCAAAATTTTACTTATTATATGGAATATGGGTCATTCTTTCACAAATCGGACACCTTTTTGACCTCATGATCTCCAATTTGGCTGAATTTTTTTTTTATTTTTTTTAATTGTTTCTAAAAGCAATATCACATTGGAAATATTTATTTTTTAAGTAAAATTGTATGACATATTCCTTTTTTTTTTTACTGAAAAATCGTTGGGTGTGATGTGAAGGATAAATTAATTTTTAAAAAATACTAGTAACGATAATATCTACCTGAAATTTTTGAATTTTATGTAGAATTCTATTACAAATCTAAATCGAAAACAATATGAAAGAATTTTTGTAGTATATTCTTTGAAATTTCATTCAATGGAAATATAGTACGCTTGTGCTTGACATATTTTGCGGGAGAAAAAAAAATATTAAAAAATTTTAAAAAATAAGAATTTCCTGAAAATTTTTATTTCGTAGTTTAAATTTACAACTAAATCTAAATAAAATATAATAAATGAAAATTTTGGATACACGTTTTGAGAAAAAAATTTTTTATAAATTTAATGGTTAATATTAGTACGTAAATATAAACAATTTTAATTGTTTAAACAATTTTTTAAAAGTTTAATCAATTCTCTTTAAAACGCAGTAAATTTCAAGTTCCTACCATTTATAGAACTTGAGATATAGCCATTTGAAAATTTGTCTTCAATGCCAATTCTCAAAACCCAATGGGTCAGGTCCATATCTCCTTGGAAAAAAAATCATAAAATTTTTTCCCGAGATACGGATCTACTTATTTCAGCCAAATCAGAGATCATGTGGTCATTTTTTGCCAAAATCTGTCCGGTTTTTAAAAAAATTACCCATATATAATGGAAACCATACTTGTATACCTAATAGTTAACTATTTATTAAACGCTTTAAGCTAAAAAAATTTCGAGACAACTAATTTATTTAATTTTTTTTTGCAACAGCTGTTACCATAAAATAATTAGTAATTAATTAATATTTAGCTAATGCCTTAATATCAGATTTATATTAATGAAAATGTACTTGTATATCTTATGCAATACATTAAATCATCTTGACTTACTACATATTTTATTTGCTTATCACATCAAAGTCAACCGCAAAGATAAAAAAAATTTAAGAAATGTTCATATATTTTGGGAACAATTTATTTTTTCCAGCTTACATAATTTACTTTAATTCAATTTTCGCACTCTACACTCCATAAACTAAGGTCTGTTAGCTTTAAGCATTCAGTATAAATCTTAATGTTTGAGTACTACTTTTAATTAATTTCTTTTTAAAATTTCTATATACACACTAATAATATGTGAACTCACGTAGCTATATTTTTTTTAATCTTTATAATAAACTGTCGTCTCAAAACACAAATAAACTCAATGTATTACTCACTTACTGTTACAAGATGGAGCATAGAGTCTCAACGATTCCTCTAAATCTTATTCTATTGCCTGATTCTCTCGTGATTTGGTTCCAAGAGTACTGTGTGTCTTTAAGTTCCTGGTCCATGGTTTTTCGCCATGCCTTAGCTGGGTACCCATGCCAGGCCAACGGGTACCTTGTGCATTCCAGCGTAGGGCTTGCTTCGTTATGCAGGATGATATTTTCCTGAGCGTGTGTTTAATCCACTTCCATTATCTTCTTATGAGTTCAGTGGCGAGTTTTGCTTATTCCGTGCATTCGCAGAGATCAGTATAGTGGCGCTCCGGCCATTATATTTTTAATATTCTTCTTAAACATTTGTTTATGAATACTTGGATGTATGATAGATAAATAGAGGCCTAGTTTTTTCACGTTTCACATATGTAATACAAAATTGATTTGACGTTCCAGCTAAATATACGAAGCTTAGTGCGGGTGCTTATTTGATTAGACTTCCACACATTATTCAGTGTATTATGATGGTCAAATTAAAATAATATTAAGCTTTATTTCATTAATAAAGGCAAGGGCGACATATAAGGCAATTGCTCCGCTCTAAAAGTGTATCCAAAAAACTAGTTCATAAAAAAAGAGGGCACATAGGGTAATGAAATATATGCCATAGATCGATGTCGAAGGTATGGATAAGAGTGCAGTCCAGAGTGATAATTTTAATACTCAGAGTGTACTTATAAAAGACAAGTATTAGTGCGAAGGTTATCTTAATTTTATGTAATTGTTTTTTGTACTTTATCAGTGCTATACTTTATAAGTCTAAGAAAAAGCACTCATGAGTACTCTTAAGATACTCAAGTAGTACAAATCCGTGAGTACGTATACGCAACTTAAGTTGATGATTGCCATAGTCTCATGGCTTTTTCGATTGGTAAATCTAGGGTAACTTTTTTAAACGAGATTCACCTTAACACTCGAGTATAATATTCGAGATAATTTTATAACACTCTAGATATTTTGTCAGAGTAGCAAGATTACCCCGAAAAATTGTTGTTGTTGTTTTGTTTAGATAAATAAAAATATTTACTAGATTTTAATCTATGTATAGATTAATCTATGTAAGCAGAGTATAAGTAAACAAAAGTATTTGTAAGAGAATGGATCATTCTGTTGAGTAAAGTAAAAAATAAAGAAAACAAGAGTGAATATAAGTAATACTTAAGAACTCATTGCAATTCTCTGGTATAGACATGTGTATGTACAGGCAATCTTGAGCTCTGACTAAAAATAAACTCCTGATTTTAATGTAATGACATTGTATTTAGTGAATTATATAGAAAATAATATTATTGAGCAGAACTAGTTTGATTATTTCAATCAATATTTTTTTATTGCTTCTTCGTATATATAAAGACAAATCTTTTAAGGTTATACATTGTAAATTAATTTTTTTTCAATTTATTTACAAATTATATTGCACTGACAGGAATTGTTAAAATACATTGAATATATTAAAGGCTAAAGCTGCCAGTTTCATGGTTACCCATTTCTAGATATATGTGTGAGTTTCCTTTTTGTAATCAACGTTGCTTTTTTGGAAATAGTCAATTCAATGAAATTTAAATGCTTTTAAGAACTTTAATAACAACACAAAGTATTTACCAAACATAACCTATTTTAAAATTTTATATAGTTGCGGGACCTTCCCTTAAAAAATATTTTAGGTTTCATTAAAATTTTGAACTTGTTTAAATCCGTCAACGTTTTAATAACAGTACAAAGACTAATATACTCTATAACACTATACAGTTAAGAAGTCTAACGCTTAGTGTCTTTAGTACCCATTCACACTGTAATTAGAAACATATGAATAAAGAGAGACAACTATTTTTACAATATTAATATTTTTGTAATACTGCAGCAATACCAAACACCTTCTGCAGTAATACTGGTATACGGTATATGAGCACAATGGAAAAAAATGAGAACATGAGATTTATTTTCGTGTTTCTTTACGCTAGTAGGTTGTAAGAGAGCAAACGTATATACAACAGTTAATCAGTTAATGCACATCGACTTGCGTTGTATGGTGATCCTGTGGTCACCATGTATAATTTTAGTTTAAGATACTAAAGCGTATTTTTTTTAGCTTTTTTTTAATAGAAATATTTATACTTTTGAAAAAACAAGTGTAATATTTATTGTAGAAATATATAATAATTAAATACTTACCAGCATAAATATAGACTTCATACAATAAAATGTAGGGTAACTTTAGTGTAGTTGTAACTAAGAAAAATATGTTAAATTTTTATACAAGCTTCCTGTAGCAACAAGATAAAGTATACATAAATATTAAGACTCACAAATTGAACATATTCATACATAAATAATGAAGTTCATCATACGCTATGTTGAACCAAAAAGAATATCAAAGAGAAAGGACCATAACGCACAAAATCCCCGCGGTTAAAAACACAAAATGTAAACAAACAAACGAAAACCCAAAAAATCTACAAAATAAGTTCATAATTTAAGAACTTATTTGTTATGAGGTATAAAGTTTTTCGCTAAAGATTTCACTAGATACAAAGGCACTTAAAAGGAAAACAGATACATTGTGAAAAATAGCAATTAAATTTCTTCGCATGCATATTGGTTAACTTTCCATAGAATAATAATTTCTTGAGAAAAAACTTTCATTAGTTGATGAAAGTAATGCTATGAAGTATAAGAGTTAATGATATGATAAAGTAAGAAAAAAAGTATGAAAGTCAGTCACTGAAAACGTTGACTTAATGAAGCATATATTTCAATAACTTTTTACTTCATACATACTTTATAGCTTACATTTCGCTTTATTCAGCACTTTTCATGTATTTTCTTGAGTTTTTATGAAACTGGTAGTTTTAATTTTCTCTGCAGGTGCTCATCACCAAGTTGCGTTCTGCAAATACCGTGGAAACCCGGCAATACCGGAAGGCAGCTAAGGCGCTACTCGTTCTAATACCACTTTTTGGCATTACATATTTGGTTGTTTTGGCTGGTCCCACCGAGGGTGGTGTTATGAGTCATATGTTTGCGATTGTGCGTGCACTGCTATTAAGTACACAGGTAAATTCAAATAAAAAGCAATATCATAACAATAAATAGTATTGACGCATATTTTTATGGTAAAATTTATTCAATTATGCGAAACGAAATCAATTTTATTAATATTTTTTATTATATTTTTCTTCTTTTTTGTTGTTTTTTTTGTTTACATGCTGACATTCGCAGGGTTTTTCAGTGTCGCTGTTCTATTGCTTTTTGAATTCGGAGGTGCGTACCGCTTTGCGGCATCACATTTCAACTTGGCGCGATGAACGGAATATACAACTCAATCAAAGCAGAAGGTGAGTGTAAATAATATGAATTGCAAATCCATAAGTAAATAAAAAGCAAAAATCGGTGGAATTAAAAATTTTTTATTGCCTCGTGTAGGTTTCAAAAAGCCATCCTGTAGTGTAGGGGAATATGTCTTATGAAACGCTTCTGTATAATTCCTAGCAACTTAATTTCAATTTAATTTTCTTTATTCTTAATAATTTTAAGCTCTTAAATTCGAATTTTATGAAAATATCTTAAATTTTCATATTGTAAATTTTCTATTGTAATGAAAATGTGATAAAGGGCGAACATATGTGTAAAAAATTAACGAAGTATGGCTTCTTTATTAAACGTTTAAAGTAACTTTGCACTTTAAATAATGCAGAGATTATTTAAACGATTAAAGATTCTTTAATCTTTAATGGTTATTTTGTGAAAAATATTCGGGTGTATCGTCATCATGGATAATATTATTTATTCTTGCATATGGCTTTCATCACCCGTAAAAGTTAAAGGATTGAACATTCGTATAAGTAACGGACAGATTTCATAATTAGTTAACCCAATTATTTTTTAATTTTTTAATTGTTACTTAAAAATTATATATTGAATATTTATTAAATTTAACTAGAGATTCTGAAAGGATGAAAAAATTTCTTAAATACAGAAATATATTAATACAATTTGACGATACTATAATTTTTATGTGAGTGTAAATAGTCCTATAATAAAATTTAACATTTTATTGTGATCTGTAAATGAAGCTAGAAAAGATTTTACGTTTAACATCATAAATATTTGAAAACACATATTTTTTAAGGATGTATATTTTTGAACCGGGATAAGATATTTAAAAACAGACAGTAAAGATACGTTTTTTTTTTTAAAAAAAACCTACGCATTTGATAAGTACATTTTACGCAATAGAAAACATGTATGCCAATATCAAAGAATAGCCAACTGAAATGATACACAGGCAATCCTCGAAGCACTTAAATTTTATGAAGTAACTAGACTTTCCAACTTTCTAGAGACTTCATTACTAGTTGCTAAACAACTTTATAGGATTTAAGTACTTCTATAAAAAACTGGAGACTCTATTATACTCCAATACTTGTCGCAAACAATCAAATATGGATTTTTTAGGTACAAAGGCATAGAATTGTAAGTAAAAAAATTCGTATAATGTAGAAATGTCAGGAAAATAGCAATACTTTTGCTGATATAGATCTAACATGCTTACGTAGCTTAAAAAAGGGTAATATTTTACTATTTAGTAGAAAACAAGAGAAAAATACAACACTATATCTCATATATCTCTAATTCATTTTATTCTAAACAAAGCATGTTCTAAAGCGCTTATAGGGACCACAATTTGGAATTGTTTGAACTTATTCTTACCAACTTACCCATTAGAATTTTTGAGTTAAGTAGGTAATTCCAAAAAAACACCTTACCAACTTTTCAATAATAATTTTTAAGTTAAGTCAGACATTGAAAAACAAACTATTAACTAAATAAACTGAGAAATCTTTTTAAAAGAATTTGAAAAAATAAACAGAAGTAGTGAGGATGTTCCAAGTATTGCTGAAATACTGAAATACTTAATACAAAACAACCCAACCCGTAGTTTAAGATTCAGTAAAATAAGATAAATACTGCTATTTATTCAGAAAGTAGACCTGAGTTAATCACTCAAAATCCATGAAGGGCATATAATTGATCTAAACATCATACTGTTTTATACTCCCATAATAAAATAATTCATCTACATATGTACTTTGTGAGAATATATTATAACCAAAAAATTATAGATTTAAATATCTATCTATATCTAGACAAATTTATTGCTCATGATCAATACTAATTACATGTATAATATCAGATTTGGGCCACTGTGCCGCATAACCGCACAATAGAGAAAAAGGCGTAAGCTACTTCAATTTGTTTTATATAATTCCTTGCTTAAATTTCAACGCCTTTGGAAGAATAAATAAATGATTTAGGTAGAGTTTAACTAACATTTCTCAAAACTAATTTCAAAGTTTTAATAATGATTTAGAGTACGTTTGGAAATATGTTTTGACAATTTTTGTGGTTTATTTATAAGAAACTTTTGCACTCACTGTGTTGTTAAAATAAAGTAGCACATAAGTCACAACTATATAAATTTAAGTATTTTTGTTAACTATTATATGTTTTTTTAATATTTTAACACTATTGTCTATAATTTTACAATTATTGGTTGTTGTGCAATTAAAAAAGATCAAACATAACTGTCAAAAATCTAAACTCTCCAAATTGATTTTAATGAAGATGCCATACAAACTTTTAATTCAAATTCAAAATCCTTTTTTTCTAAAAATTACCACTAAGTCTCTATAAGTGACAAAACCAGAGTAAACAACTTTAGTTACTTTAAAATTCATACTTCGTCAAAATAAATAACAGCTTAGTGCACAATTTTCATGTTTCAATTTTATCTGTTAATCACTCCTCTACAAATCGTACAATCCCATAAATCTATTTTATCTCTTATTTTCAAAACTTCTACACAATAAAATTTGTTATATACGTATATTTAAAGTAATGCAAAATCCAGATCATCAAATACTAATTTGTAAATTCTCTTCAGATATGTCATATTAATGCAAAACCAGGCATCACCTTTTAAATAACAAATTAGCTTAACAGTCGACAACATTTGAGCTTTGACATGTAAACGATTAACCAAATCTGTAAAATAAATTTATGACTATAGAGAGATAAAAACCAAACACTACCTCTTATTGCTGCGTTGCCATATCACATACATTAAATATCAAGCAATACAAAGCCAAACCACATCAACACATTCTCATAATTACTCTGATTATCGTACATAATAATCGAATTAGTTAAATTACCATGAATCAATTTGGCAGCAAAGGACTCATGCTTGAGTTCATTTTAATTGAAAATTTATGTGGCAAGGCAAATTTACCTAAAACATTCCGCATATGACAATGCCAATATACAACAATACCAACAATACACATGTAAATGAATACGAATGCGACTGAAAGGTGGAAAAATGTTTGGTTAAAGTGTGGTCTTGTGACTAAGTTCACCACAGAAGTGCAAATATTTTTAAACCACAATTTTACCAACACATAGAACTCTACATTCAACTTCCTAGATAAACTCATCCGGATGGATGTGTGTCGAAATGTAATAATTGGCAAACTTATGTCTCCATTAGCTGTCATAAAAAATGCATGCATTTATGTACATGCACTAGACGCTTTAGTGCAGGCATTCATAGGAATCTCTTTAAATTATGCAAACCAAATAATGTCAAATTGTCAAGTTTTATTATTCCAACATATGGTCCGTATATTTTTCCTAGAAGCTGTATATAAATTTAATGTTATTCAATATGCATAGTGTCATTTGTAGTGCACATATAAAAAAGTGATAAAAAGCAGTTCATAGTAATTTTAAAAATTTTGCAGTACGAATTATTTGAAAAAATCGTGCTTTAAATTCACTTTTGGAAAGACCACTTCTTAGATTATTGTAAATAAATTTCTAAAGGATTTTTGCAAAAATTATTTCATGAAATTATTTTAAGATTTCTTAGTATTCCTTTACATTTTTGGTCTAGTTAGCTGCCACTAACAAGAATTATACATTAAATTATAATTTTTATATTATATATTTTGTTTATTTAATTATTATTATATTTATAAAAATTGGTTGCCAAGCAACTAAAATTAAACTTAAAATAAATTATATAATTTTATAATAATAAAGTTTTAAATAAATTTTTAATACTTCTCTGAAAAATCTCTTTAAGAATTGACTTACTGTGTGAGCGGCAGAATCAAAATCAATTTTTTAGTTTTTTCAGTTTTCTTAATTTCTTTAACTTGAATTTATATATATATATATATATATATACAAAGCTAAGGTAAATACTGACTGGTTGCAAGAGTGAAGCGAACGAGCTTACTTCATAAATTATATGCATTTTTTAATGATGTTAAATGGCACTTTGGCTTTAGTTTATTGTGATGTATATAGTTGAGCTAAGTTAAACATTGATTGCTTGGAGCGATATAATATTGAGATTGATAATATAATATTGAAAATAATACGTTTTTTTAACAAAATCCATTAATTGCATGAAAAATGGTTGAAAGTCATAGTTAACGATTTAGAATATATTAATTTAAATAAAATTTATCCTTTCTTAGAAAAAAAAATGTTTTGTCTTACAAATAAATTTAAAAAACTAAGTATACATCCAATATTTTTATTATTATTTGAATTATGTATTTAAACTTCTTGGGAATATTGTCATGGTTTCTTTTTTCGCTCTAATTTCTTACGTTGGTAACTTGAAAATAGCTAAAACATATCGATTTCTTGCCCAATATCAATTTCTTGTAAAATAAAAAGGAAGGAAACTCACGGTATCATTTTTAAACTAATTGAGTGACCTTATACCTTTGCTCTTATCTGTTTATTTAGGACCAAAGAAGCATGAGGGTGTGAAGATTATAAGCAAATAATAAATTACCTTTTTTCTAATCAATATACAAGTTTATAAGTATTTCTCTTTCTCTCTTGTTTTCCTCTTAATAAGGTTTCCTTTATTCTTTTTTTTTCTTGTTAGTCCAAAAATTAGATTGTTTTGAAAAATATATGATTCGTAGGAGTTATAAAAAAAATTCAAATGCAATATTAACAAGTGTCCAAACTAAAAACTCCATTTGATTTAAAGGTTTCTAACCAACAGATGATATATGTACTGATTTTTAGTAATTGTTAATAATAAATAAATGAGAAGACGTGTGGATTTGAATAAAGTACATGAATTATAGTACTAATGGATCTGTTGAAGAAAACAATATGTTCTTAATCGAAAGTTTAACATTATTTTATTTTAATGAAGAGTAGAATGTTTTGTATAGTGATGTTTCAGATTTTTATTGTGATCGAAAGTTATCACCCGATTATTAAATATTTTTATAATTCATATAGGTTTTATATATTATCACATAATCATATCATGCAATCATAATCACAATATCATATATATCACACATCATATAATCAGATGTATTAGCATACATCATAATCATATAACTTATTTTTAAAAAACTTTTAAATGTAAGGTCAGCCAAAAATTTAATTAATTACAAATAAAAAAATTTTGTTGTTGCTATTCACTACTGTTTGAAAAAACCTCTCTATTAACATAATAATTTCTATTAGGAAAATAGTTTCATTCATCATAATTAACTTTAAATATCAATTTTAATATAAAAAGAATTGACTTAAATATGATATATTATTTTTCTGCATTGATTAAACTAACAAAACTGCTTATATAGTATAACATTGCGTTTTTTGTAAATAATTACAAATAATTCTTACATATATACTGAACTGTTGATAGAATCATAAGATTTATTGCAGGTACTTCATCATACAGTTGTTCCATTAGTTTAATGGTTCTATATAAAATAAATCTAAACCTTAGGAGATTGGCTGTTACTGTAGCTTCAAAAGGTGAAATTGTTAATCATATACCTATCTAAGTGAATTTATGAACTTGAACTATTGTAACATTTTTTTAATACAATTAGAGTATTTAGGCTAAGTGTGTCAATGCGGCATCATTGTTTATTGATTTTGATACGCCTTCAGGCCAAAAATTTTTCTAGCAAATGTTAGTAATCTAATGTACAGTTGATTTATGATTTCGTTCTAATATAAAGACAGCAAGTTAATTTGTTAATAAAACTTTCGCAGCAAATTAACAAAATCCAGAAAAATGTGCGAACATAAAAGTCAAGTACGGCTTTGGGTCACTTGATTAAGGTGCTCTGACTCTGAGCTTCAAATTTGACAGAGCACGAATTCATTTTCTGGTACTTGCAGTCTCAAAAAATTATTTACAAATAATTATATATAAAAAATAAGTCCAAAACCACTATTGATGGGTATTTGGTAATCTCGAAACAGTTGTATGGTCAGTCAAAAATTCAATTAATTAAAATAATGAATAATGAATTTTTGTTGTTGTAGTTCACTACTGTGCGAAAAAAACCTCGTAATGTAAAATATATATGTATAAATGTAATTTTTTTATGTAAAAATTTCAGGAAATCGCACAATTATACAATTCCCACTCTTTCTGGCTTCATTACTAATATTATAAATCACTGAAATTAAAATAAATAAACATTAAGTAAATACGAGTACATTTTTACTTATAAGGGACTATCAATCCTCTCATAAAATTATTGAGGTATTACAAAATATATCTGGAAAAACTGAACATACCTTAATTACTTTAGATAACTCTTATATGAGAATTTTATAAAATATTAACTTATCATGAAGTAATAAAATTTAATTTACTTGAAAATTTCTCAATTGTTTCTCATTTAAATTTCGTATTTATTTTTGTGAGCAGCTCCCCCTTGAGAGATTTTTGGAACACATACGTTAGATGTATATGCACCACTTGGCACATATTTTTCTAATTGAATTATAGGAATCGTCAGACACTTCAATTCAATTCATTGCTATGTCAAGGAATAATAAATATTCTGCAAAATCAATTGTATTTTCAAGACTGATTAAATGAATGCGGTTTCAATAGAGATTTTAGGAATCTCGAATTCATTTCAAAATGTTTTAGAATTTAGGATTTTAGGATGGATACAAATAGAAACAAAAAAAAAACAAATAAATCAAATTGAAGTATGAAATGTGTAATAAATTTGAGTGGAAAGTTGATTTTTAGAAGTGAATTTTGATAAAAGAAACGGAAGCAGTTCCTAAAATTTAATTTCAAAAATTCACACCATCATCGCATAAAAATAGTAACTGAAAACATAAGCACTAGCAACACAAATAAAAACAACAACAAATTGTGTTGCTATAAACAATAATATTTCTACTATATTTTTTTTCTTCATTTTCGGAGTGAATTAAATGCAAACATAACAGCATAACCACAGCAACGCATCGCAAATCTTCTGCGGCCGCCGGAAGTGGAAGATTTATTTCCGTTCTATTATTTCGTTCGGTTATTTGTTTGGTGTCTTCATTGGTTGCTTGGCTGATTGCTTTCAGCATTCAAATGTGCTAACAATTATTTATCAAAAACGACAGCATTTACCGCTTTCCAATAGAGAATAAATTAATAAAAAACATCCAGCAATACATCGTTGTGGTGATTTATGTATTAATAGATTCTCATAATATCTTTCATATTATATATAAGTATTGTCATAATAACCGTCATAACGATACAGTGATATATATTTTAAAAAGTGACAAAGAGAAACAATTTTAACATTATTTTCTAAGTCAGTTAAGTCAGATATTGAAAATTTCTCTATAAAAATTAAGCTTATTAATTTGTATTTATTTGTATATTTAAATAATAAATAAAATAAATATTATTTTAATGACCCTGGGGATGACTATATAGTCATAATATTGATATTATATTATACTAATTTCAATTATATTTATATATTGGTAAAAATAAAATATTTTAAAAACAATTTTTAAAAAAATTATGTATTATTTAACAATAACCATTTAGTCTATACAAAAATATATAAATATAAAATTATTTATATTGTGGTAAAGTGCTAGCTAACTGTACTAAATATAAATTTCGAAATAAATATTTAAAAAAAATTCTGTGGTAAACACACCCCTTAAAACATTTTAATATCAAAAAGAGAACAATATATGTTAAAAATATAATAATAAAATATTGTCAATTTATTAACCATATATGATTATATATGGACCGAGTTAAGTGGTCCATTGGATCAGTAAAATTTTTGAAAATTTTTTGCAATAAATATGGCCATATGGTGTCAATGAGACGGTCAGTTAACAGAACCTCTTCTTGAAATAAAGTTGTTATCGAATTGATTTCGATTGTTAAGTCTGCTAACATATATGACAAATTGCGCAGTCTTTTTCGAACCAAATGTGTTCGATGTTTAACTTATTAATTTTTAAAAACAATAATTTAGTCAGCATAGTTCGATAGTCCTCGCTGTTCACCGTAACAGCACTTCCTTCTTCATTTCGAAAGAAATACAATTTTTTTGTCTTGTTGATGGTTTTAAATCAAGAAGAGTAAAATTAGTGCGAAAACGATAAATAATTGCACGAATTGCCTCCTCACTAGGCCGATTATGTTAACCGTAAAATGGACATAGTGCTCTATGAACATCGCAAACAGATTTATTTTTTCAAAGTAAATTTCTACAATTTGGAAGCGTTGTTCTAGCGTTAAATAATTCATGATGAATTACAAAACCTTTCTGAACAGAAATGTCATCTCTATACATTGTCATATTATTGGAAGCAAGCGCTCTACATATAGTGAGCACGAAATGCTTAGGATAATTAAAGGACGAAAGCGTTATACGGAAACAGACTGAAATGCACTTTATTAGTATGTCAAGCCCATCAAATAATTTTGTGGGCAGCTAATGAAAATTGAGGTGTCTAATTTGATCATAGTTGAGGAGATTCATTTATTCATCTTTTACTTTTTTAAAATCATTGTGAAGACTTGTTATTTTTAAATCCTCATCCTGCAGATTCCAACTCTTTCTACACAGAGTTCAGTAGATGTTGACTAATTTTTATAGTTTAAATCCAAATTTACTTATTTATTATTTGTATATAATAATTTATTTAATTATAATTTATATAATTTAAAATTTTTCTATTTTTTAGATATTCTAAATAAATCTAAAGCTCTTTAAACAGATCAGAAAAAATTCTAATTGCTATTATACTATAAACAATAGAGAATATCCTTGAATCCTATGAAACTTAATCTTAATTAGTTATTATACAAAATTAATTAAAAATTATTTTTAAAATATTGTAGTTAATAGAATCTTTTAAAAAATCAAAATTCTTTATTAATCTTTATTGATATGCAAATATTAATCTCTATAGTTTACATCTTTGAAATTCTTTTAATCTCTAATTTATATGAGCGAAATTCAATGCTTTTTAAAATTATTAACATTTTTAATCAGAAAAAGTATATGATATTTTTAAAAGTAATAAAATAAAACTTTTCAGTCTCTTAGACTTCAAGAAAATATTAATTTTGAATTAATAAATTGCAGATATACATCAAAAAACTTCTCTAAGGATGGTTCACCAAGACCTGAAAGTACTCGGTGAGTAAATGATTTTAACTTTTTGATGGCAATTTGTAATGAAAAATTAATTTATTTGAATTTAAAAATAACATTTACAAATATCATATACTCCATGAAATTTTTTTAAGTTTTTAAATATAGATCTAAATTTCTATCAATATCTTTAAACCATTTGTATAAGGTATAAGTTTGTAGTTAATAACTCTACTTTTTTAGAGCAAGAATAGCAAATTTTCCTTATTAATTTTAAATTTTAAGCGGACTTATTAAACTTACTGTATGATAGAAAGCAACTTTATAGGTTAATTAATATACTAACTTAGTAATGTTATTTTTTGCAGACTGTAAAGCTATTTTTTATAGTTATTACTCTGATTTTTTTGTAAAAGGTTAACTATTATAATTCTTAACTAAAAAATATCTTACGTCTGGCAATTTTTTAATAAGTTTAAGGTAGTAGGTATTTATACTCTATTACAACCCCAACTCTTCGTTTTTTACTTTTTGCATAATTTCTCCATTTGTTCATTAAGTTTGGAAACACATTATATCTACATCATCATTAGACTTGTCATTAGGTATCGTAAATTATTAACTTATCCGCGAGATCCATTTTAATAATACTGGCTGTAGCTTTCACCACAAAGTGGTCAAAAGTGTAACCCAATTTATGGTTGTAGCGGACAGTAGGCTGTCCTGGTCATGTTATGGAAGTGCTCCGGTTCGAACATCGTAATTTTTAATGCAGATCTCTGTCACTCATTATTTTTTTTTATACTACAATTATAGCATTATGCTGCTACAATTTATAAGCGACGCATGTATATAACATATGTTGGGATATGTCAATAGTGGCAAATGGCGGATATGGAGACTTACATCACAGGAGGGTTAAATACTTCTCGTATATTAATGCACTGAGTTTACAATGTACTGTACTGATTACATGATTTTTAAGCTTAAGCAGTGTCTCAGAAATGGATTGCAAATCTATATAGAGTTCTTGCTCCATCTATAAACATATAACCAATAAGACTACGTGTGTATTACTGGTTAGATTAACTTAGTCTAACATATATTATTATATGTTGGTGAAGTAATATAAATTATTCGTCCATTATAAAACGAAGTAATTTATTTCCTTCATCAGATTCTGCTCAGATTTAATTATTTTGTATAAATTAATCTTGAGAAAGCAGTCAATTAAATTATCTTTATGTGTATACGTTCTAAAAAAAACGTATTGTCAATAATTATATGTATATAAATCAAGTTTTTAAATTATTTCAGTTTAAAAAAAAATAATATTACCGCTTTAATTTTTTTCGTCAAAGCCGTTTTTATTTGCTTTTGTTAGATAATGCGCTGAAAATAAACTCTGGTTTGTATTTAAATAATTCTTAATATTAATATTTATGCTAATAAGTATATTTAGTACATTATTATTGTGCTGCTATCTACTCTAATTGTGTTCCACAGGTTAACCTAAATTTTTCATACCACACGGTAGTAAGTTACTTAAATGCGTTACTAAAACCCTCACATCCATTGTGTACTAAGTGCCCACTTTAAACTAAAAATTGTACATATAAAAAACCTAAAAAATTCAATTCTAAGCGAGACGGCAAGTGATGAATTAATAAAACGCCTAAGGTTTTGACCAAGTGCAGTGGAAGTAATAAAACTGCAACACAAATGGACACTGTTCCGAAACTATTTTAAAATGTCAGCTCAGAAACGCCAACTCGACTGTTGACCAAAAAAAAAATAGAAAGGAATTGAATAATAAAAAAAGTTTCGGAATTGTGGACATGGCATGTTTGCTTTGTGTTCGAAGGATTTCCCCTAAGTCCAGAAAACTTGAAACTGTAGAAAAAAGTTTATAGATTCAATGCATTGCATGTTTTGAATTTTGATTTAATTTCGTTTTATGATGGTTTTTTCTCTAAGAAAGATATTACAATCTAAACCCTCCATTGTAGAAGAAAATCTAAATTCCTCTTCGTCCTCTTGTTTTTAAATCGTACAATTGAAGAAATTGCTTTGTTTTTTCAACCCAACCAGGTTTCAACCGAAGGAAAATATGCTTGAAAATTATATTTAAAATTCAAATAATAGAATTTTTTATGCAAAACAGAAGCAAAGATATTATCAAATATAGAATAATTTTAAATTCCACAAATATTTACTAATAAAAGAACAGCAATGTAATGTTTTCTTTTTTTATATTTGCTTTATTTCTAGTCCACTTACATCTTATTATGGCAAAGGGAAACGTGAATCCTGTGTATCGTCGGCAACTACAACTACAATAATTGGACATAATCCACCCATGACACTGCAACGTGGCTCTAATGGTGCATTGCACATGTTGCCAACTGCAACGACATTGACTGTAATGCCGCGTGCAATAAGTCCACTGATGAGGGTTTGTATAGAATTTTATTACATTTTTCATATTCCACAAGTATGTCAATTAGTAAGAATTACTTCATTTAGAAGTAGTTTATAATATAAAATGATTTCCAACACTTTAATTTATGACTCCTTAAAATAAAAATAACAAGACTTTTTCTGCTAACAAAATGAGATATATAGCGTAAATAGCAGTTATTGAATGGGAAAAAGAAACAATTACCAATTTTCGTACTATGTAATCAATTCTGATCTTTAAACCGAAATGGGTCAGAGTTTCACACTGTGAGTCTCATAAATATTTAGGGTTAATGCTGAGATCCTTCTTACTACTATTGACTTGGAGATATCTTGTTTTTGTTTAAAGATTCGTTTAATTATACAATCATCAGGTTTGAGATAATGTAACTAAATCATCTTCTGTGTAGTAATTGTGTAATTCTTCTGTGTGATTTTGTTTATTAACTAAAATTTAAAATTTTTTTTAAAACCAAAAGTAACAATTATTTCTTAGAAAACAGAAGCTGTTTACATTATTTTAATTTAAATTTAAAGTTTTTTATTACTCTTTTTGTAATTCCTCAGAAGATAACAGCCAATAATTCTAATAAGGATCTTTATACAAACAAGAGAATATAAAAATACGCAATAATTAAAGTTACTACAAAAAGAGTAATTCTTAAGTTTTAACAATTAAAGAAGTAAAATAGTTGATTACAATTTCTATATGTGTATACAATTTCTATATGTGTATAGAAATTGGATCCATTCCAATACTACATTATGGAAGTTCCCCAACGTATTGAGAAAGCATAGTCAGTCATTAACCATTTTTCAGGTCATCGTGATAGCCTAGAGGGCTCTTTATGCCGCATAACTATCTGACATCATGTCAATATGTATTCCTTTCAATTTTCAACGTAGATGAAAAGAGTACACACATATTTCGACGGTTTGTGTTTCTGGTTCAAAAATTGTTTGGTACATACCCATTGGAATTTATGTTTTGAATCGCGGACAATTTATTCCAATCGTTGTTGTTCCGTTTTCTAATTCTGACTCATCTCTTAACCAAATCTGTGAATTGGGTTGGACCATAATGAAATTTGTTTTCCACAGCACACGGTCGTTGTTAATGACGACAGTTTCTGAAGAGTACCAGTAGCGAGAATAATGTATCATCGGTCTGTAAAATAGAACAATAAAGAAAGGATAGAGACTTAAAAGAATCCCAACACTCCACTTAGCTTGTAAATATTAAATATATTATAAATATAAAGTGAAAATTTTATGCAATAAAAAAAAATTAGATAAAATATAATAAAGTAAATTATAACAAAATTGAATAAAATAAAATAAATATAATAAATTAAAAGAAAATAAAATAAAAAATAATAATATATAATAAAACAAAATTAAATAAAATGTAATAAAATATAATAAAACAAAATAAAATAATATGTAATAAAATAAACAGATATAATAATAAAAGAAAAAGAAAAGAAATAAAATAAAAAAGAACATAAATAAAATATAATAAAATAAAATATAATAAAATAATACAAAAGAAAATAAGAATAAAAAAATTAAAAATAAAATAAAACAAAACATAATAAAAAAATACATAAAATAATACAAAAAAATAATATGAAATAAAATAATGTATAATAAAACAAAAGAAAAGAAAAGAAAAAACATGATATCTAAAAAGAAACAAAATAAAAAATAAAATACTAAAATTAAATTAAATACTCGAAAAAGTATGATCAGTTCAATTAATTAAAATAATATAAAAAGAATTTTTGTTGTTGTAGTTCACTACTTATTGAAACCCCTCTAATACAATTAAATGTTATAAGATATAATAAAATAACTTATAACAAAATAAAAAAAAGAAAATGAAAGAACATAAAAGAAAATGAAATTAAATATAACGAAGTAAAATAAAAATAAAATAAAATTAAATAAAATAAACAAAAAAAAATAAAATTAAAAAAAAAATAAAATATATATAAATTAAATGAAAAAACAAAAAAAAAATTAAATTAAAAAAAAAAATATATATATAAATAAAAAATTAAATCAAATAAAATGAGATAAAATTAAATAAATAAAATAAAATAATATAAATAATATACAAGTTCCGTTAAAATATTCAATATTAGGATAAACCATAATTAAACATTTATATATATGGTTAAAAAAAATAGGAAATGATTAGGAAGGATATAAAGAAAATAATTCAAGTCTCACAGAAAATGTGTGAACTTCGTATAAGAAAAATAAAAGCATCTAGAATGTACAGTAACTATTGCTAACATTTTAAATGTTTTTTATATAAAATTAAAAGGACAAATACATGTAACTCTAGACGTACTAAATCAATCTGTAATTGCCCCATATCGAACTTTTAACAACACTGGTGTGCATTGCTTACATTAAAATGTTGTTAAAGATATTATTTTTCTTACTTATAATTAATTTCTTTATCTTTCATTAAAAATTAAAATTCAAATATTAAATTTCTTTCTTTTTGGAACAGGGCGGACTGGAGGAAAATTCGGTGTAAACAATGTAAATGCATCTGAACGTCTTTCAATAGAAAATATAAATTCAGAAATTTTAAAACCCAAAAACATGACAAAGAAATTCTATTTATCTATAAGTATTTAGTATAAATAAATGTTTATATATATATATATATATATGCATATATATGCAAACATTGAACAGAAAGGAGCTTTAATTCTCATTTAGTCAAGAAGGACTTGTTAAACAGAACAAAAGAAGAAAAATTCGATACTTCAAAACAAAGAAGGACTGCTGAATTTATTTATAAAGTTTTAATTTATTTTATATTAAGTTGTAAATTTAATAAGTTTATAATAACTCTTTTAGATACAAAATTTAATTTAAGTGACAATTTATCGTATTGTATAAAAAATAAAGTTCTATGTATTTTATGTGCAAAATATAGTTCAAATTTAAAAGAAAATATTATTAAAAAACATAAAAGGTGTTAAAGTCATTAATATACGTCATACACAGATAATAAATGAATTAATTTAAATAATAGTAAACTTAATATAAATTTAATATTTTAAGTGTAAAGATATCTATCTATGAATGTACTATATTAATGTAAAGTAAATGTTTTAAATTTTAAACTTTATGTATGTAATTCACCAAAATATAAAATATAAAAAAAAAATTAATTAAATTTTAAAATAAATGTGCTAAATAAAATAAAAAATAAGTTTTATTATTAATTGTTTTATTTAAAGTTCTCAACTTAACCAAAAAAACTGGGCAAATTTTTTCAAAAACACAAATCTATATTATGCCAAATCAGTTATAAGACACCTTTAAAAAAAATTTAAAAAACAAAATCAAATGTCATACTACATAAAGAATATAGTAGGGAACTACTATAAGATACTTTGACTTTGTAGGAATAAATGATACTATCTATCAAGTTAAAATATACGCGATCAGTAGATGTATTAAAGAATAACAGTCTTACAGACTGTCAGTAACGCACTCAAATCTCATCAAAATTAGTGATAGCCTGTTTAGAAAGGCTTACATCAACCAAATATAGAGTCTATGGATTCCGGTGTATATTAGGAACAAATACATTAAAAAGGTAGATTTGCTAGCAAAGGATGTTGCGGTATCATTGCTATTCGAGTCAAACTTTCTATGTGAACTACAAAAAAGGTACAGTTCCCTACTTATTAGAAAAAGAAAGACCCAGAATATTGTACTCGGAAAACAGATACAGGTTTACTGCTTTCTAAATTGTATATAGGTACGTGCAACCTAAATAAATATAATGGATATTTAAACTTACCAAAAACCAATTATAAAATAAAACAAGAATTCTGAGAGGTCATTATAGGTTGAACCACCACTTATATAAACTAAGAGTCATATTTTATGAAATTTGCAAGTACTGCAAATAGGAAGTGAAGACAACGAAGCACATACTGGAGGTTTCCCTTACACTTAAGCATAACCGAAAGAAGATCTTAGATGGATACTCAACATGATGAATGGATAATGAACTAAAACTTCAAAGAATAAGACAAATACTACTGTTTATCAAAGACTTGGAAATTGTGAATTAATGGAATAATAATAACTAGCACGTCTTCTTCTTACTCTAGGTGCGCTTTATTTGATAGACACTTGTTGAGAGATAGGACGTACAATTAATATTGGGTATATGAAGGCATATAACCATGAACACTTCTATAGTTCAATTCTATTTAATTCAATTCCATATAATACATTTAATGCATTTACAATGAACTAACTAAGAACCATGTTATATAGAGTATCATAGGTTCATCATGAGCAAAATTATTATTGTTTTTAATGCAAATAATAAAACCACAATTCAATGAAATTGAGACTGAAAGAAAAAACAATATGTCGATTCAAATTTGGTCATAAGAACCGATGCTATCTGTGCCTCGTCACTCAGGCAAAACAGTTTTATTCAATAATAAATGTTAACATTTGTGTCGCTTAAAAGCAAATCATGTATTTTTGTCTAAGCCCAAAAGAGACAATCTAAACGAGCCCATGACACTTTACATAACATGGCCGTAAGTAATCACCTTTATCTTGATAACGTAACAAATTTACAAATATTCAGTTGACATACTGTCACATATCAAATTCATAAGACATGAAATTCTGAAAGATTCTATCCCTCAATTTATTAAAAATATAAGAATAAGTAGTAAAAATATATCGACGACATATATCGACATTTTTAATAGGAAACATTCCATATTAGAATAAGATAAGTCCATAGAATAACTAATAAAACAAATGCTTTTTGACAAAATACTCTTTCTCTCTTTCAAGAGAGACACAATAATACCAACGCTTTTTGCTGGAAGCTACCGTAACATTTCGATACGTCTCTTGTAGAATGATTCATCAATGGCTTTTAAATATGCCTTGGTTTCGGCGATAACTTTCATCGTAGCCAAACGTTCTTCCCTGGAGTATTTTTTGAGATCTGCGAACACCGGTAGGTGTGGAAACAATTTAAAGGGTAATTCGTGAAAATTGGCTACTGTAGCCAACGACATGTGACACGTTACATTGTTGTCGTAAAAGATGACAGGTTCTTCTTTATATGGAACCGTTGTTTCGCGATATCCTCCTTCGAACGTATCAGTTAGGCTTTGTAGAGATCGCTTTTGATCGGTTGGCCTCTCTCAAAGTAGTTGATGAAACTCCAAACACAACTCAAAATTCGAACGTGGTTCGCTACTGCTTACTCGACTGACTGCTGATTAGACTATGGAGTGAAGTAGTGGATCCAACTTTCCTTCTTAATGCAATTAATTATTCGTCGTTTATCTATGTAGTATATTAAGCTAGATAAATAGCAATAAATAATTTGAGGTATTTTTTTAAAAAAGCTTATATTTACGTTTGTATATTTTCTATATGTGAAATAATGTCTTATAGATGTGGTCCTTATATCGAACTAGATTCCTGTTTCTATTAATCACCACATCACTTTTTTTCCACATCAATATCCTTGCCATTTTAATGTTAGACCAAACGAAGCTATTTTACTCAAACAACACCTCCTATCCCAACCATTATTAAAGCTAAAATATTCATTTTAATTATTTACTATTTTAAACAGTATTAAAATGTTAAAAGCTTAAACATCTTTAACGCCGTAAAATATTAACATTTTAAACCAAGACAACACCATAAAAATTCAGACTAAAATTCCTTGTAAAAAATTCGTATGAAATTTTTCACTTTGTTAACTTTAAATAATAAAAAATTGCAAAAAAATGAGAGTATAAAAATGCAAGTAATATGAATATTTTTTATATAAAAGTAAAATGGCTGAGTACCGCTACACCGTGGCAGCCATGTGCAAATATGCAAACTAACAAAATGGCTGACACAAAATGACAAATATTATTTAAACAAAAGGTTTTTTTGAACTCTAAAGCTGTTGTGAAATAAACCGTGCAAAAAATGGAAGGTTGTTGAAACTTTTTATTTAGATTTTATTTTGCGGTCTGATCATATTTGTGCTACAAATTCATTAAGATATAATTGCACTCCTGCACAAACACAACTCAATTAGTCTGAAGGACTGCAAACTTTACCAGGCACTTGCCTGATATGAAGTATGCACTTCAGAGCCAGTTTTTTCCAATTCGCATTCATTGTTGTCCTACACTTAGACCATTTTTATATTGAGTGCAAATTTAAACTGGAAATGCACTTAAACTTTTTTAACTTAATGGTTAGTTATTTATGTGTACTCCTCAATATTTGTTTTGCGAAATTTTATTTTTTATTTAATACAATTATTTGATCAAAATAAAGTAAATAGTAGTTTAAATATAGTTTAATAGTTTAAATATAAAGTTCCATTTAGTGATATAACCGGGACTTTATCATAATGAATATATCTTCCTTTAGATAACTAAGCAATGTTTTCGAAGGGAAGATAAACAGAAGATGTTATCTAAGGGATAATAAACAAGATATGTAATGTTATCTAAAGGGAAGGATCCAAGAATTGTTTTTTAAGAGAAGATTAAGATGTGTTATCTAAAGTGAAAATATCAAGAATTGTTATTTAAAAGAAGATAAAGATGTGTTATCTAAAGGAAAAATAACTGTTATTTGCGAGGAGATAAAGAATAAGTGTTATCTAAAAGAGGTGATGTGGGAAATAGAAAATTTATTTGGATTATAAAATAAATATAAAGCCTCACATATTTAACAAAGAAGTATTTTCTAAGTGGATATGCTGTTAGAAATAGAAAATGTAACTAAAGTAAAATAAATAAAAAACCGCGTATTTCTTACAACGAAGCGTTATCTAAGTGGATATAGGTACTGTTAGAAATAGAAAATGTATGTAAAATAAAATAAATATAAAATCTCAAATCTTTTACAACATAAAATATTGAATAAAAGTCTTGTTTTCTTTTTTATTAGCGATTCAATTTATAATTTTGGGTCTCTTTTTAACACTCCTTCAATCGTCGCAATTACTCGCAGCTACTTTGTTTCCTAATTACTAACAACAACAAGTCTCTAATAATTTTTAACACCTTGGTTGAACAGCAGAATCGGAGATGTCTTATTGCTCTTGCTTCTAATCAGATTTTCAAAGCATAATGTACGTATCACTGATTGGAACATCTGCCGCAACATATCATTAACCTATAAAAATATTTTCGACTTTATTCAAGCTCCAACTCCACATCATGTACAAACACAATAATCACTAAATTTGTTCTTATTCGGTACTCTATTTTTTTTATCCTCACGTGACCAATCTTGCAATATTGCAATTTAAATACTCTGAATTGATATATAAAATAAAAATTAAATTAAATTAGATTTTTTTTTCAAAAAAATTATATTAATTTAGATACATCATTCTTATGGCGATGATTCGTCTTAGATGTAATGTAATGCACCGTTTAGTTAGTCTGATTTAGTTCCTGAATGAGTCGGAAAAGAAGTTCTTTCTTTACTCTTGATTACTGATAATAGCTACTCGAGACCTCGTTGTATGATCATACAAATTTCAATAAATTAATTCAAAAATTTTTGTTGTTGTCTTTTTATTTCTATTCGAACCCTTCTAACTTTGAAATAGTTCTTTTCGTCATAAGATGCGTTACTTTCGGCATAAAAAATTAGCATTAAATTCAATACGATTATCAATAGAACGTCTTGCAACTGACTAATCAATCTCTATCTTTATAATATCGCTAGGGGATATCAAAAGGAGATCGACAAAAATTTTTCATAATTAAGATGGATCTTATTACGATTTACAAATGTCTGCATATAGTTGATTCTTCTTTCTTTGACTTTAAAATTAAGCAACTTAAAAAGAATTTTTTTATTTTTTAAGCAGTTTATTATTAATTATTTGTGTTTTAGTTAAGATTATTACCGATCTGGCAGAGCTGTCATCCTGCAAAATTACGGACTTGGTCAAGTATATAGATTTGTCAGGTTGATTTACGTTCACTTGAATTGAGGAGTAGTGCCTTTCAGCGTTGTTCGTTAGCTGACCTCTCGTCTACGTATGAACAATGCTAATCCATGGTATTACAGCAGGTGATTATTTGAGCTGAAGTGAGCTTTGGGCACAAAACTGCCATTCCAACATAAACTAATCTAGACAGGATTCACGTAGGTTTGGTTAGATTATACCGGCGATCCTAGGGGGATCCACTTAGGTCTATAGGCCCATCGTACTACTACATTATAAAAAACCCAAGGGTGAAAAAGGGATGCCTACATAGGATTCATTTAAATTATTAAAACTCTATATCACTCTTATATCTTATATATGTCATTTATATATACCTATATATATATATATATACCATATAAAGACATAACAATTAGAAATTTTTCAGTTTATCAAAATGTTCCACAGTCAAATGTGTCCTTCGAGACTATTTCAAAGAGAACTTTTATTTTAATTATTTTTGTGATAAGATTTGATTGCACATTAAAACTGTTTTGTTCTTTTAATTGCACTTGAAGTTCTTTTTACTGTAATTTGATTATTTGAAGCACTTGCAACAGCCAACAAAAGCATAATCGCTATATAATGTTGCATTAGAAAAACGTTAAGCAAATTGCATAATTATGATAGCTTACCTTCAAAAAGTTTCTAGTTGCATATAAAAGGTGTCTAAGGGAGATACATTATGTTAATAAACGAAATGCATGTCGCTTTTTGAGAAAGTGCCATTTACATGAGAGCACTTTTTATAACAAACTATTAAATTTATATACAACATATTATATACTGCTTTGTATTCTAGAAATAGGAAAAATGCATCTTTAATAATTCAAGCAAATTTAATATGTACTTATACGTATAGGAAGAATAAACAGCATTGATGCGATGAAGCTGAACTACTTTAAATGCAAATCGCAGCTGTGGTGACAGTGTCACTTTAAATGCACATTCGAGTATATCCCGGTTGTGCCAAGGATAATGAATAATTTATTACATGTTGCACAAATAGCATATATAAACTCTTAACTTTATTATACAACTTTACAAGTAAAAAATATAAATTTTAAATAATTTTTAAATTTAATTTTAAGGTTTTTACATTATTAGTTAAAAATAAAAAAAAAATGTAAGAAATATGCTTAAGTTTCATTTGAATTGTCAACAGTTTCAATGCTATTTTCATTATTTTTGCCCTCGAATGGAACAGGACTTGGCTCGGCTTCATTATTAGATCTAGTCTCAGTTGATTGCTGTTTTTCTTGTTTTGCTCGCCGCTCGTTACGACGTTCTGAGTAACGCGACACTTTCTTAACACGTGGCTCTTCCTTCTTATAAGACTCACAATCATTGGATGCGTTGTTCTTACCATTTTTACTGTCAGTGCCGTCACGTGAACGAATTTTAGGTTGATAAATAGCTATTGAAGGACGATCCTATATAATTTATTAATGTGTTAATATTGTATAAAACTTTTCAACAATATCATTTAATACCTTATTACGTATGCGACGCTCCTCAGCAGCTGATTGCTTTTGTGTTAAAGATGTTTGCTTAGGTTTCGTACCACTATCACCTCCACTAGTATTTTTTGTCGTCTCTATAATTTCGTGTATTTTAACAATTTTATCAACGTCTGTATCAGTCTTAACATCAAGTGATACAGTTTTCATATTTTCTACAAGTGCTGTGAGAACATCTTCGCTCTTGCTGTCTTTAACAGGAATGTCATCAACATTCTTACCAACTTTCCGTTGTTCATCGTTTTTTCCCTCTTTAGTGTCGACTTTTTTATCAGACTGTTTCTCATTGTGTTGTTGTTTTTCCACGCTGTCTTCATGCTTCTTAGCATGTTCAGGATTTGTTGCAATTTTTAATTTAGATATATTTTCTTTTTCGTCACGTACACGCCTGTGATAGGCTTCCTGTCGACGCAAACTACGTTCAATTCGCCTCTTCGAACGCGAATTTTTATGTTCCTCTTTATTGTTAGTACCAGAACGTTGATCAGCATTATTGTTTTTATTCTTATCCTGTTTATCATTGCATTTGTTATTTTTTTTACCTGTTTCTTGATTATTAATCGCTTTATCACGTTCATCTGAATTTTTTTCTTTCGCTCTAGACTTTAAAGTAACTTGTGATTGATAATTTCTTTCCTCATCGCGTTGCTTGCGTTTTTCTTCAATTCGCTTTTTTTGGTCCTCACGCCGTTTCTCTTTTTTCTGTGCTAAATACTGCAACAACGGTGTCGACTTAAGTCTATCATCCTTTTTTCGATCAAGCGTAAATTCTAATTTACTTTCACCACGTTTAGCAGATGCTTCTTCGTCCTCTTTCAATTTAATAAGAAATTGTTGGTAGTGTGGTTCACTATCGATAGTGTTCACTTTATTATCTCTACCGCGGGATCTACTTTTCACAAATCCTTGAAATGGTGAAAATTCCACTATTGCAATATATTCAGCACCTTTTGTATCGACAAAGACGTAGCCATCGAAACGGTCGACAAATGAGTAGACATCTTCTAAATTCTTAAAAGAAATGTGTGCGCGACAAGTTGCTTCAGAACCTAAAGACCAATCCGCTTCGCAAAAATAGAAGTAATCATAATCTGCTATTGGCGCTACTTGTTCTTTAAATTCTGTTTCAATCATTGTAGGTGGCAAATGCCTTATGACAAGCTATATAAAAACGGCGCATAAGAAATATTACTAGAAATATTATTGTTTTGAAAACGAACCTTTGTAGGAGCTTTTGTTTTCTCTCTTTTGCTTTTTGATTTTTCCCCTTCACCTTTCTCGCTTGATGATTTATCTCTCGACATTTTGTTTCAAAAATAAATTTGATTTAAGATGTATTATCTCAATTGTAGAAGTTTCATCAAAATTAAAATGTTTGAAACGCTATTACCAAGAATAAACGTTTCACCTTCGAATGTTTTCTAACAGCTGTTGAAAGTATTTTCGAATTCAACTTCAAATACTATATTTCACCTAAATTACCAACAGGTGTCACTGCGACAAGTTTATTTGATAAATTGAAAGAGTGTTCACATAAAATAATGAGTAATTTCTTAAATATAGTATAATAGTATAATATAATATAGTATAATATAAATATAGTTTATTTATATTATGTTAGAGAATAATGTATATAATGTATATTTTTTACATATAAATGTTTTCTATAATAATTTGTTTTTTTTTAAATATTTTTTTTAGTAGTATTAAAAAATTAATATATAAATGAAAGTATATATGATTCCAAATTCTTAATATACTATAATAATCAAATTCACATGCAATAATATCTTATTAATTAATTTATTGCTTATTTTTATGCAATTTTACATAATATCGAGTCACCATATTATAAGCATTTCAAATGAAAGCTTTAATTGGCTTAGAAACTGTTTTAAAACTTTAAGTCTGTTCCTGTGTATACCTAAGCGCTTTCCATCTGCAAATGTTTGAGTAAATGAGAGTATCTGAGAGAACTTAACATCCCTGTCAAAATTTGAAAATGCTACACTGACTTTACACGTACATTTTATTTCAAGTAAAATTTGTGTTAATGTGTAAATCAGCTGTTTTGGTTTGAATTTAAATTTTTGTATTGTTTATTTGCGCGGCACTAGTATTCTCACCAGACTTGATACAATACTATTCCATGAAAATCTGTTTAAAGAGCGTAATTTGACACTTTATTGTGTTACGCTCTCAGTTTGTACTTTACTTGTATTTTATTTGAGTTTTACTACAAGCAGCTCGTGAAACAGACCTTATGTTTACACTCAGATTTATGAAATGTTTTTAGCATATTATTATATAAATATTATTTGTATTTTTTTAGGATTTTGTATGAAAAATGACACACATCACTACATATTGTTCAAGTTAAGTACAATTGTCTAAACGTGGCCTAACATAATTAATGTAATGTTCAGAAAAATGTAGTTTTTGTGAATAATGTATCATAGCTTAAGGCAGTTACTGTAAATTTCATTAAAATAACTTACATAAAAAGCCAGCAGATGTCGCTGTGCATTCTTTTGCAAAACATATGTTAAAATTTGACAACTGATTTTTACAAACAAGCCACCGCTGGAAAAAATTACAAATTGATTTATTTTCCTTTACAAAGTACGTGAAATATGGCAGAATAAATGCAAGTAATAAAAAGAAAATATGTACACGGTATTAATTATTATTAAACTTTTACCAAAATTATAAAGAAGAAACTATGTAAGTACTAAGTGTAGTGTTAAATATCATATATTCTTATCCAAAATCCTTTGCAGACTTATCAAAACAGTAAAGCTTCAACGTCGAAACATTAATATTTAATGGAGGACTTTTAAACATGGAAAATAAAGAAACAAATAATCAGTTACTTCCAAATTATAGTTGCAAGCGTTGCAAACGGGTAATTTACACTTTAAATTAATAATTCACTATATACGATTATGTTTTGTTCATTCATTTCAGTCCTTCAAATGCAAACGTGACCAGTTACTGCATAAAAAGGAGGTGCATACACTACATAATACGTCATATGAATGTCAGATATGTAATAAATTCTTTTGTAATAATGGAAATTTAGAACGTCATATGAAGGTGCATAATGACGTTCGTCCACATGTGTGCGTTACATGCAATAAAGCATTCGCGCAAGCTGTAAACTTGCAGCGACATTATTCCGTGCACAGTGGCGAAAGACCCTATAAATGCAGTTTCTGTGCCAAATGCTTCACACAACAAAGCAATATGCAACGCCATCAGCTTACACATACAGGTACTTATAGAAATCTTTCTCTTTTAAGCATAAGGATACGGGATATGGGTCAGTTATTCTTGTTGGGAAAAGGTTTCTAAATATTAAGCTAGTTGAAAAAAAATATCAAATTTAAGATTCATTAGTATAAACCCTCAGTCATGTCTAAAACGAAACAAAACCATTTAATATCTTTTCGGAGGAGAATTAATTTTATTTAAATTAGTTACTTAACTATAGAGTAATAAACCTCTATTATACCTTAGAATATTTTATGATTTGAAAATTGTTTAAATATTAAATTAATAAAAATTTCCATTTTCAGGTGAAAAGCCTTTTCGTTGCAAACGTTGTGGTCGCTACTTCTCACAGCGCGTTAATCTCAGAAAGCATATCCTCTGTCATCTTAATGCAAAACCCTATAAATGCAAACTTTGTGACAAAAATTTTATGCAACTGCAATCTGCTCGAAGACATTTAACCACTCACGTTAAGGAAGGTATTGTTGACGTTAGTGATGCCCTTGAAGTTACCAGCGTTTTGAATGAAGTGTTGATTCCACCCGATGAACCAGCGTAAGTTTCATAAAAAAAACAATTTAAATTCATTCATTAATAATAATTTTAATTTATGTTTATGTTTGCAGTAACTTTGAATGTGCAGTATGTCGTAGCATATTCAGCACTTTTGCTGAGTTTGAATTACATGAAGAGGACTGTTTAGGCACGGATGATCAACCTTTTCAAGAAATAGTAGTAGAAACGGCAAAATAAAATTGAAATAATCAAGAATAAATATATTTTTTAATTTTAAGTTTGAGTTTAAGAATAAAATTTTATGTTTGAATTTAAGATACTGAAAGTTAAGTTGTATCCTCATATATATATATATATATACCATTAACATAAGTGAATTATTAAAGTTTTGTTTAATACATGAAATTTTTTCCATGTACTCACAGAAAGTATTTGTTTTTACTCTTAAGTTTTTAATTTTTAAAATCAAGATGAAAAATGTATCAATTTGCAACTTCATTGCTTTTTAATAATAGGTTACTACTATTAATGCAATGCCACCATACTCTATCAAAAGTAAAGAACTTAAAAAAATAACTATAATTATTGTTAGCAACAAGATGTGTCACTAGTTAATGGAGTGATCTTCTCCATTAACTAGACGAATAGAGTCCAGATTTAGTCTTTCTTTTATCTTCTTGAACTATTCTCTTAACACCCTTACAGGATCAGTAAGCCTTCTGAGAAAAGTTTCCAGATCTTAATATCTGAGACCTGAAAACATTAATGTATATGAAGACAAATTAGTCAAACCAACAATTCAGCTTTATTAGGAAAGTAATTCTGAACTATATTCGTAAAAGTAATAACAATAAGAAAGTACAGTTGAAGGATATTACTCAAAGTTTTTCAAAAACATTTTCCTTATATATCATAAAGGGGCCCTATGATAATGGATTTGATATCGAATCTTCAAGAGTCAATTAGGTTTTTGCGGAAGCTAACAATCATCAGAGCACAAGTGTATAGACTTTATAAAATTGAGTTATAACCATTCATTGTAAAACAAACTTAAATCATTAGAGGTTCCAATAAATGGTGTAAGACAAAAAACTCTAGATGAGTAACCATATATGATTTCCAGTTTTTGTAGCTGTTGTGGTTATTGGAGCAAGGGTGTAACCTAAACAACTTTTTGTATAACCGGTTTAGCAGTAAAGGAGTGAGTATTGAGAGAGGTACGTAAATGTTTTTTTAAGCGTAAACCTCTAAGTCCTTAGCGAAAGGCATACAGGTACCTATCAAGCTATAGATCAAGCATTAGATCAAGCTATCTATAGTTACAAACCGTAACTATTACAGTATACATACGTCTCATTAAAGAAGCTAATGAGCCTTGATTCAGGTTAGCTTCAATATAAAGCTCACGCATTAACAAACTCCTCTTGTTCTCAAGCTATTGCTTCTTTTTTCACACTTCCTTTACCTAACCATATCTTACATATTCATATTTGTAATTTTTTTCATGTTATCTACCATAAAGATCTCCATTGGCTACTTCTACAACAACAACAACAACAACACATTGTAAGTCGTATATGAAATTAGATAGCTATTAACAGGCTGGGTCTACAACCTGGAGCTACGCATTAAATTCGATCACCAAATGCTATTAGTTTCAACAACGGCCGAGCCTATGTCCTAGAGCCACTCGTCAATCTCGACAACCAAGTACCGTTCTTTGGGAGATGTTGATGGAAGGATACATCCTTTCATGTTATCTGCCTAACGGGTTACAACAACAACCGAGTGCCATTCAACACACCCAAAAGGAACTTCACAAAGAAATTCTTGCGGACTACTGCAACAAAAACATTCTATTAACGTTGATATGTTATCTGCTTACAGCCGCCTGCGGGTCACAACAACAAGATTAACGTTGATATATCAAATTTTGAAGGGTTTAGTTATGCTTTAACAGAACACCTTACGTATTAAAAATAATTTAAAATGCATTTAATTAATAAGCAAACATTAAAAATATATTTGAAATGAAGTTTCAGTCAATGTGTAAATTTTTTTTATACACATACAAATTATATATATACATATATATCAATATATATATATATATATTACATTTTCAAAGCACAAACGAATTGGCGTTCGCATATGCGCAACTATAAATAGAAACATGTAACAAATAATAATAATAAAAATAATTTTAAAAAATAAACGCAATTAAAATTAAATAAAAAATATTAAAGCTAAATAAATTATCGAATACTCTTTATGTTTTACAATTTGAAAATTATGTTTGTTTTTAAATATAAAATATTAGTCACAATTTTTTTTATCAGTTTCACAATATTTGTGTTAATTATTTCATTAGTGGTTAATGATAATTCATATAATATATATTTGTTTTTTTTTTTCTTGTTTCAATGTTAAAATTTCTTTTGCAGTAAAAAGAAATAATATTATATATATGTTTATATATATTCGTAGTTTAAAACTTATGCCTAGTTAATGCCTAAAGTCATAGCTGCTTCATATTAAAACTTTATAGAGGAAACCTGTTAAAATATATTATTGCGAAATGAAGCTTAAACGGAAGCTCAGAAAATCATAATAATTATGAAGATCATGTTTTTTGTTTTAAATCTAAATTAAACTAATTCTCTGAAGAATACTTAAACATAAAGGCTTATGTTATATTATTTTAAAATGAAAAGGTACTGAATTATACTATGAAATTAGTATTTAGAATATCTGCAATATTAAAAATTGTATAGATTTACAGGTTTCACTTGTAAATTTATGGCTACATAACTAAATTTGGCGCAATGCGTTATATTGCAATAAATCCGCTATTGGTTAGTTTTATCTATGATCACGCATCCACACAATGCATTCAAATCGATTTCAATATATTCTATGCTATCCAATTGAATACAAGTTGTGTTTACACGTCTACCGCGAAGAAGTCTTTAAGCAATGTAGTTCGACGTTTTTCAGCAATATCCATTTGGTTTTCGAGCTCACCCAAGTCTTCTGTGTCGGCACGTTCAATTTTCCAAGATAAGTTTTCAATTTCAGCTTCTAATTGTGCCTAAAAATGTAAATACTCCGTACAGTTTATGCAAAAACTTAATAAATATTGTTGTCTCCATACCTGTTGATATTCAAATAAATCCTTGCGTGAACCGGTATCCATGAAATAAGCATATGGATAGGTATATTGCAGTGTATAACGACATTTTGCTAACAGCGATGCACCGTTGAACAAATATTGCCAATCGATCCATGTACCTCTACCCTTCATTACTTTTTCATTGATTCGCTTACGCAAACGATCAATGGTCTGCTGTTCCAACTGCAAAGACTTTGAATGATTCTCCCACCGTTCATAGTAATGTAGATATTTTTTGAGAGCTTCACGCGCCTGCACATGAACAGATTCATTCGCTATATTTGGATTGACTTTATAGCGCGAGCACTCATAGTACTCTGAGCCATGATTCTTCCAATCACCCAAACACATCCAACAGAAATCATGTTTACAATTGAAGCATTGCATATGATTACATCCGCCATTTTTTTCTATGCAGATGTGACATTCAGGACAGTCTTTGGTGTTGGCGCTTATATAGTTAGCAGTTTCACTGTCATCGGCGCACTTGGTTAGCCATTTCTTAATAATTTGGCAATCCGTTGGCGCATGATAGTCCGTACCACATTTAAAACAAAATGAGGTATTGCATACTTTACACATAGCACGTTTAGCGCGTATATCTCGAGATTGTATGATAATTTGGCAATTGGGTCCTGGACAGAAACGTAATTCTGGATGTGATTTAACATAATCTTTAAAAGCAAACTGTTGATATTTGTCTCGCATAAGTGGACGTGTCACCAACGTGAGTACTAAATCCTCGGGAACACGCACATTGCACATTTGTGCCATGCAACCTATCTGTGTAGAGATGCCCTACAAATGAAAATATATTCAATAAGCAATTTGGTAGTATGCTAATTTATTACGACTTACTTGAAATATTTGCGTCTCGAAAAACATGGACCAACAATCTCGGCAAAACGAATGATTACACGAGAGATTATAGAATTTATCACCCAATTGCGCTGTGGCACATACGGGACACATTTGGCTACGATATGGTGTACTAATGCTACCTCCTGCTACAGTTTTAAAATATGTGGTTAAAAGACCATGCCCACTTCCAACACTCCCACTACTTGCGGCACTACCACTGCTTATATCCTTGGCCGCTGCACTGGTTGACGCTGCGCCTGATACATTTTGGCTTGATGATTCTGCTACAGTAGGAGGTTTGATGCGTGCACTTATTAACAATTGTGTAGCGTTGTCTCGGTATTTATCAACCACAATCTGTATATTCCATTGATGTTCAAGCAATAGCACTTTTGCCAGTGAAGGTGTGATTTGTAGTAACGTACTTAGTTTTTCTACCGATTCGTTTAATAATTTTTCCACTTCTTCAACAGTTAAGCATTCATATTCAAAATATTCAGGATCTGCTTTTTTAGGATCAAGATGCTCCACGTCACAGTCTTCACCTACAAAATAAACACGTAATGAGTAAAGCAGCAAAAATTAAATTAATAGAATTCTTTTTATATATAATATAGGATAATATTTTTATTATATTGAATTAAGGTAGACATTCAGGGGTTGCTTAGCGTTCTCAACACACGTTCCAAAATAATACAATGATAAACGCGACATTAGAAAATTCCGTTGATACCAGTAAAAGTCATATATTTGGTTATAACTTTCCCCTCAATGAAAAACGAAGTCTATCAAACTCGTCTGATGTTCTAGATGCCACAACAACCAGTTAGTAAATGTAAGGACAAATTAAATGCAAATTTAATGAATGCCGGTATATGACCCATCTACATTTGGATACTAACTACAGAAATCACGATACTCTCTTTAAGTAGCCAACCATCCCCCATGTATTCGTACTCTTAGACAATGCCCTCTCCTCTCGCACTGTCATTCATCACCTATACACATCCTAACACATGTATATGTCTTGTGATTCCTTTTACGGTTATCCAAGACAGTCAGAAATATAACTTTGCCACCCAGATCAATGTACGTTAATAAGTTATCAAACAGTATGTTCAGCTTTGTTGTTTTGAGCAAGGGCGTCTCTTTGAGGATCAGAAAGGTTGCTTGTACCATTGTTATTGTTATAATTATAAAGAAATTTTAAAAATTTGAGATAGTCAAAGACATTTTTTTTCTATTTATGTAAAAAATTTTGAATGGTTGTTTTATCGTCAGTTGATATCCATTTTAATTGAACATCATGCCACTGTATTTAATATTTTAAGGTTGATGATTCTTGGCTAGTACAAAAAAATTCTGGAGCACAATAATATAGATGCATAGTCTTCATAGAGTCCACTACGTAGACTGTGATTTTCTGCGCGAAAAAGTCTACATATAAAACCATCCTTTTAAGATATAATTACTTTCCCCGCATATGATAGAAGTATATAATAGTTAATCTAAAATATTAAATTGGGAGATGTTTTGAAATCTACACACAAGCGGTTTCATCGTTTTAAATAACTTTAATTTTTTAAAGCGGTATGTGTAGTAACCTTAGTTCCTACTCAAATCATCTTGGTGTTAGCCTCTTTCTATGGCTAACATGTTAGCAGCTATATTATTGATACTCGATTTATGGCAGAATAGTAAATTTAAAATTTAGTTTTAGATAAGTCAATCGCTCAAGTCATTGTAACAGTATATTCTGGTACCCAACCTATTCAAAATTTAATATTTTTAATAAGTTTAAATCCAGTCTATGTGACAATAGACACCACCTACATTTCATTAAGTATCGCAAAGGTGTAACAATAACTAAATTAACTTTAGTCCGCTGAATTTAAAATTTAATTATGTTGGCTTTAATACACTCAGTACATCACCGAATCTGTTCCCTCGGGAGTACCGACTATATAGGTGGCGTTAATTTGGCACCTAGAAATAAATCGTTTACGTGACATAGTATCTACGATCTTCAGTTTTAGATGCCAGTAATAGAATAAATTAAAATTAAGTTAAAGTAACTGAATGGAAAACCATAGAGGCGAACAAAGCCCATTAGTTTGGGAAGTTAACGTCTTCTCAAACTAATGGTTTATTTCGAAAAGAAAGAAATTCATAATTTATATGAACTTTCTCAAGGCTTAGAATTTTTAACTTATTGTAGCTTTTTACTTTGACATTGATTTTTCCTCCTTTGTGATTTGAAGATACAAAACATTGAATTTTTCCGCTGATTATGTAACCAGCTGATTAGCTGGATAATTTTATCTACTATACTACATGTTAAAAATAATGCCCAACATAAGAACAAGCAACACTTACTGAATACTGTTACTGATGACTCTCACTGTATATTCGCTATGTTCTATAGTTAATAATGTAGTTGAAGGTCGCCAAATACTGTAACCAACAACTATTGCTTAATCTTGCGTTGTTTTATATCTGAAGTACTGTTGGAGAACTACAGATAAAAATCAGAAGAAAAAATTATAATGAATTGAGTTCCTTAATCTCATTTAATAAATCGAAAAATGAGATAATTTTGTCTATGTTTTGACCAAGTTTGACGATGGCTGGAATTATTTTTATCTAATGTAATCTACAGAGCAAATAAATAAGTCCAAATAAATAAGTAAATATTTTAGGAACAAAATTAACTGGCAACATCGATACTTGGCGTATAAAAGGCATTAAATGCCTCAATCTCTTTGAGTCAATCGAAGAGCGAGATAATTTTATCTACGTTTTGACCAAGTTCGACGATAGCTGTGATTATATTTATCTAATATAATCTAAAAACCAAATAAATAAGTCTAAATAAATAAGTAAATAGTTCGGAAACAAAATTAACTGACATCATCGATGCTTGGCATATAAAATGCATTGAATTCCTTAATCTCATTTAATCAATCGAAGAATGAAATAATTTTATCTATGTTTTGACCAAGTTCAACGATGACTGATTAACAATAGTGATAAATGGAAATTGTATGATTATATGATACAGAAAAGATAAAAATATAATAGAAAATAACTATGCACTGTGGAGAAACAAATTAAACTCCTATTAATTAGTTTAACTCTTAGCCTATTAAAATCAGATATTATACAAATTTGAAATGGTGCGGTTTAATTGAATTCAAACTCATTATTTCATTATTCTGCTGACTTAAGATAATCATTTTTATCAGTACGAGTAAATTAGAGGTTAATTTGGGAATAACTTGTGTTATACAAGTATATATTATGCTAATTTCAAGGTTTTCGATTTTATTTAAATAGATATCGTAAACTAAATGCACTGAAACAAAAAGAGTAAAGATTAGAAAGCAATTTGGGTACACGCACAGATACCCGTACAACACAATCTCCCAAGTACCGAGCTATGGAATGAAGGTCACAAATTACGTTAGTCAGGTAATGAAATGCATTTGTTTATCTGTGTGACTGCAAATGTTATAGAAAATCATTACAATGTAGTTTTGTTGTGAAGTGAAAAATTTCACTACTTTTACAAATTATCCATCAGTTATAAATCAATTTTGGTGGTCATTCTCTGTTTTTAAGAATTACTTAATTTTTTTTTGTTTACTTTATTACGAGTTGAAACACCTCTTCAAAAGGAAGGAAATAAATTCACTTCATAGCCTTGAAGAAAGCAATGAATCGCAATATTTTAAAAGTGTCAATCATCGTTATCTCACAGATAATTCAATTGAAGCTGACTAATGGCAGAATAAAAAAATATAAAATTGTAAACAAGATTGACTTTTTGAAGTACTTCATTTCTCATAACTCAGAATCATTAAACGGAAGATTCAATCTTCCTTACTATTGTGGTTCCTTAAACAATAGTAACCTGTGAGTGAACCTACCATACAACTATTATTTTAATACTTTATTACCTGTGAGCAAACCCACTATACAACTAAGATTTTAACACGTCCTCTCAATGACAGTACCAAATCTTGTAACAATTTCAATTAGAGGTACAAATTCCTAAAATGTAGTGACTATATGAAGAAACGTTTTCTATAAACCATAGATTTGAAAAATTAAAAACAACAATTTACTATATTTAATATAATTTCTCTTACTATGGCTTATATGTATATTCGGAAACAATAGATCCATACATTTTAAACATGTTCACAGAATTCAATTGGTCTAGAACTACACATTTAGCAAAAATGTTTTCTATAACTTTTATATTAAAAAATCAAAAATAATTTAGAATGCTTAAGTTAATCTATATAGCTGTGGTTTATGCGTTTATTCTAATTAATATCGCAGTAAATGCAAGGTTTCTACTTCCAGAACTCTAAATTTGAATAACTTAAATAAGGTTTACGCTGACTTTTAGAGTTTTAACACTTAAATAAGTGGTTGAAATGCGGATTCAAGTCCTGACTCTTTTAGTTCAAAAATTATGTAATAATTATTATACATGTTTCCAAAGACCATTGTTAATGGGTATTTAACGATATTCAAAACAGCAGTATGATCAGCTCAATAGCTCACTTAATTAATATTAAAAATAAAATCGGATTTGGAAATGACTTCACTATAAGTAGCTTTACGTTTGAAAATAGATTTCCTGACATCCGCACGAATAATAGGCTAAGAGACCTCAGAAGAGACACGGTCAAAAACTACATAAGGGACAGAGCCCTGAAGTTATACGTGACACAAAAGAACAATAAAATTTTAATTAAATAAATTAGATCTTTAAAGTAAGTTATATATCCTAATTGGTATATTGGTATACTAAAACTGTTTTGGTTAAAAACCTGTTGTGACATTTGCATCAAATCCTTTCTATCTTGATCTATTAATATCTTATTCTTAAGTCTATTTTGATCGCTCACTTCTAAGTAAAATTTAAAGAAGTACAAAAGGTATTAATATCTCGAACTTGAGTTTACCAATTTTTTATTCTTAATTCTACTTCATCATAGTTCCTTCTTTCTAAGTAAGTAAAATTTGGAGAACCGTAATAGGTGTTACTATATGGATCTTCCATTCTCCAACTTCTTATTCTTAATTCTACTACTACTAATTTGGAGAAGTATAATTGGTGTTACTATCTCAAACTTCCGTGCACCTACATCTTATTCTTAACTCCACTTCATCGTAGTCATTTCTTTCAAAGTAGGTAAATTTTGGAGCTTCCGTTCTTCAACTTCTCATTCTTAAGTCCATTTTATTTTGGTCGCTCCCTTCCAAGTAAGTGAAATTTAGAGAATTATATCGGTGCTACTATCTCGAACTTGCGTTTACCAACTTCTTATTTTTAATCTACTTCACCATGGTCTCTCCTTTCTAAGTAAAGTTTGAAGTATAACTATCTTGAACTTACGTTCATCAACATCTTATTTTCAACTCTACGTCGTCATAGTCACTTTTTTCAAGTAAGTAGGTAAAATTCGGAGAAATATAAAAAGTGTTACTATAACTTGAACTTCCGGTCACCATCTTATTCCTAATTATA